CTTAAAGCTTTCATCTTTAAGAGAGAGCAGAAAATCAAGCTGCTTCAGATCTGATGAAATCTTCAGTCTTCAAACCAACTTCCAAGACTGAACTTCAGAGTTTAAAAGACTGAAAGTGAGTCTCCTGAACAGAACGAAAGCTGTAGTAAAGGCAAAGACTAAACACTGATAAAAATTTGATATTAAATCAGCTGTGAGGCTGGTGTCCAAAAAAAAAAACAAACAAAAAAACATGCATCTCTGAAACAGTAACTTTACAGGAGAGGACAAAAGTATGTTTTCATGCACTCAAAAATCCGATAACAGCAGAAAATGAGATTTTGTCAGTAAACCGATCAACACGTTTACATGCGCTTGAGTAAACAGATAATGGGAAACTCCAAGTCTGCATGAGTCAGACTGTAATCAGATTTCTGCTTTACAACCAGCCAATAAACTCACAGAAGACGACGTGACGTAAACATAACGTAAAACTCAAACTTTATGCCACGGCTTTTTTTTGCACCACTTTACCTGAGAATATGAACATCTAGAAGATGAAGAATATTTAACTCCTTTATTTCGTGTTTATTCAGTGTTTTGCTGCGTCTCGTGGTGACGCTACTCGCTTATTTCCAGTATCGCTGTCTGTTCTCGCACATGCTCAGACTGAGAAATCCGAAAGAAATCAGAGTAAGAGTTCACATGCACTGAGAAATCTGATTACTGAGCTACAATCCAGCCTCTTTAGTGGATTTCTTAATTGGATTTCTAGATCGGAGTGTGCTGTGTACATGACCATTTGAATAATCAGATAACTGCAGAAATCTGATTATGATCGGATTATTGAGTGCATGTAAAGATTTCATGTACAGTCATTTCAGGCTGTATCTACTGGTCCATTCATCATGAAATTTTCACATAATGAGAAGAGTTGCTTTGTTCAAATGATGTAGAAAAATAATAATAAAAACAGGGGAAGGCGTATTTCTTCAGGACTGACACTGAGTGCATAAGTGTAATCCGATCATAATCAGATTTCTCCAGTTATCCCATTATTCAAATGGTCATGTAAGCACCATACTCCGATCTAGAAATCCGATTAAGAAATCTGATAAAGAGGCTGGATTTTAGCTCAGTAATCAGATTTCTCAGTGCATGTAAACTCTGATTTCTATCAGATTTCTCAGTCTGCGCATGTGCGGATCAGACGGTGTATGTCGTGAGACGCAGCAAAACACTTTCGGAGCGACGCTGAAACCAAACACGAAATAAAGGATTTAAATATTCTTCATCTTCTAGATGATGTAAGTTCATATTTTCAGGTAAAGTGGCGCAGTGTGAAGTTTTACATCATGTTTACGTCACGTCTTCTTCTGTGAGTTTACTGGCTGGTTGCAAAGCAGAATATCTGATTATCACCTGAGTCATGTAGATCTGGAGTTTCCCCTTTATCTGATTACTCAAGTGCATGTACACGTGTTGATCGGATTACTGACAAAATCTGATTTTCTGTAGTTATCGGATTATTGAGTGCATGTAAACACAGTCACTGAAAGATGAATAATGGCCACCGTGACTTGAAATTAAATAAATTAAGAGCTGGCTTTTGCACAGTACTCACCAATTATCACACCATTTTCACCCTAAGTATGCTTATGCAATAAAAAAATGTGGAAATTGCAGATTGCAACTTCAGTCTATATCACGTTTGTGTTTGTAAGCAGAAGAGAAAAAACATTTTTTACAAAGTATTTTGTCATATTTGTCAATTACTGACGTCGAAAGATGCTAGAAATAAGTGGAAATGGCAGACATGAACTCGATACAGAACGTAAATTTACTGTAAGTGTACATTCAAGTCATCACAATGCTCACTGTATAATTAACTGTATCTACCATGAAATCATGTAACTGCATTTAAATAGTAAACTGACAATAAAAGATATCTATTCCTACAGAAAACGTCTGACGTCTTTTCCTCTCATTCAACTCCGCTGTCTCGCTCTGCTGCACCTCCATCATAAAGTTTCAGCACTGCAGACTCCTCTCCAAAGGACTAACAGCGCAACAGTCAGTCCAAATCTGTCACAACTCCTCATTTACTCCACATCGGAGAGAACTGGCCATGCCTCTGGAGTCTGGGGGCTCAACATGCAGGAGATTCATCGTTCATCGTCTTCCTCGTGCTCTTCTTACTGCTGTGGGTTTATGCCTTCTGACAGCGCTACGCAGAGCAGGAATAACCTGAGGAGATAAACAGGCGTCCACTGCGCAAGTTCTCAAACGTGCTCTTAACTTGCAGTGGTTGGAACCAGCCCACAGAAGAACGACACATGATGCAAAAGTGAGCCGGTCATTCTAGGAAAAGAGCAGCATTTGAGTCCTCAACATGCAATACCTTGTATTTTAGACTGAAGCTGCAAACATTTTTAAGATTAAATACTTCTTTATATATTTGGGAACACTTTTTTGTACCGTTTTCACGAGCTGCAGTTTTGGCGCTAGATCCACAAAAGTTTGCAGGATCGTAGAGCCTATACTGGAATAGTGTGCACTGCACATGCCTTTTTCATGCAGCGTTTGTTCGAGCACATTTTTTTCCGCAGGAAATAAATGGAGGAATGCTGAGAAAATTTTAATCTAATTGACACAAGTGAGGTCATAAAGGACTTCTCTCACACTGACGTAGCAATCACCTTAGCAACCGCCTGGGATACCACAGCAGCAACAACATAGTAACACCTTAGCAACCACTTGGGAGTCCACAGGAAGGTGAAATTAGAGATTTTACAATGCACTGAATTGTTTCATAAAGAATATTTCCTTTTTACAAACATAATAATAATAATAATAATAATAATAACTTTCACTGCACTGATGCCTAAACAGTAAGAATTATAGCATCTTGTCACAACTTGTAAGCTTAGAACTTGTTGGCGAACTATTACACTTCCCAGCCAGTTCTGTTCCCACTGAGCTTTACAACAGACAGACCTGTACATCAAATGCCTCAATGTAACCGGATACACATCCAGGAACAGGACAGACTCAGATCTCACTTCCAACACACAGCTAATACCCTCTGAGCTGGACTCCTGGGCTACCGACACCAACCTTCCAAGGCCCACTTGTATAGTAATTATTGTCATCTTGCTATACTTAAATGTAATTGCATCCTTATATCAATTACATAGTTAATCAATTTCATTTACAACCTCTCTATCAAACTATACAGGCTGTTTTTGTTGCTGTGCCTTTAAGGCTGATACATGTAAATAACCTTGATTGGTCCAGATTACTGTTGGCAGCAGTGGACAGAAAAAGGCACGCCCCAGCGACAAGAAGGATCTGAGAGACCTACACGAACCACGGAGAGGGAGAACCGACGGACTGTCCGACATGTGTGGAGTGACCCAACAGCCACGACTGTGGACATTCAGTGAGCAGTGATGCCCCCCCATGAGTCATCCTGTTAGCACCAACACCATTGGCAGATGGCTGCACAACGTAGGACTACATACACACAGACCGTTACGACGGCTGCCCTTAACATCACATCAGCGTCTCCAAAGACTGCAATGGTGTCGTGGCAGACTGTCGTGGACTGACTCTGAATGGCGGGTCATCTTCAGTGACAAGTCCTGCTTTTGTCTTGGTGGAGACGACCAAGATCTGCGCCAAGATTTGGTTTGTTGTCACACGTCAAACATCCAGAAGGCCTGGTTTGGGGTGCAATTTTGTTTGATGCCAGATCACCTTTGGTCTTCATTAGAGGCACTTTGACAGCCCAACGTTACATTAATGAGGTCCTGCAACCAGCGGCCCGACCTTTTCTGAACACACACTCCGGTGAGCTGTTCCAACAGGACAGCGCTCGTCCGCAGACTGCTGCTGTCTCAAGAGCTTGACTTGAAGACACAGATACTGTGTGATACATGGCCAACCGCATCACCAGACCTGTCCCCGATTGGAAATGTGTTCGATGCTATTGGACGCGCTATCAACACTCCACCCCTCCCGCAAACTCTGCAGGAGCTGCGTGAGAATATTCAAACTGCCTGGGATGGATTATCGCAGGACACCATTAGGAACTCTGTGCCGAGATGTATGGCATGTTGCGTTAGTAAACATGGCAGCCCGACGCCGCACTGAGACACTACTACTGTATATGTAGCTTAATAAATATCACCGATATCAGCCTAAAGTTTCAATCATTTATTGTTCCTGGTAACCTTTATCTTCATTCCGAATAGCATTGCAATCCGACACTTTTTCCTGAGTGCAACTATTTTTTTGACGATGTGTGTATGTTGGCTGGTTCTTGTGACACCACACAAACCATTAATTCAAAACAGGCTGTTAGTTGCATAGTTTCCTTATAGGGACTGTATGGAGTAGGAGCGAGCTATACATTCTGAAACTTTAGCTATGTTTACATAGTACTCCCTTTATTTATTATTATTTATTATCCCTTGCATTTCCATATAACAGACTGTTCACTGTATATAGGATACAACACATCATTACTCCAACAGTACGTAACATGCCTTATATATTGTATTTATAGTATTATGTGTGTATGTAAATGTATATATCATTCATAGATATATTTATAATTGTGTATATATTGTTCATATAGTCATATATTTCATAGATATGCCATATTTATGCCTGTTATTGCATATTTGCACTATTGGTAGTATTTGCACTTGTGGTAGATGCTAACTGCATGTCATTGCCTTGTACTTGTACCAAGCAATGACAAAGCTCCATCCATCCATCCATCCATCCATCCATCCATAATCAAGGAAAATTCAGTTTTCCGTGATATAGGCCCATCATAATAAACTTATAACCTGCTTTAAGGCTTAAGGACAGTGTTACATGGAAAGCAGGGGGGAATTTGTCCCATGATTTCCCTACACCCTAAATCTGATTCGAAACACGAGGACCAACCTAAACCCTTAGAAAACATCAAAACCGTTTGTCGGGGTTCTATCGTCCGTGTTATGGCTCACCAGGAAGAAAGCGGAGGCCCTGGAGCAGCTGGCGCTCCTGGGAGAAATCCACCATCAGGTGGGTCATGTTGTCCGTGGCTTTGGGCTTCATGGTCAGGCGGAAGGCCGGAGCCATCGTTACCCTGAGAGAGAGAGTGAGACTTAATTGAATACAGAAGTACAAATGTAAACACCACTTTACTGCCTGTTTAAATATGGCCACTATCGCTATTGTTGATCTATATTATTTAAATATTACGTGTCAGTATACAATCAGTTTTGACACTATGTTCATATCTGTATATCTGCTTTATTATACAAGTAATGTTTGTCACTATATAATTACTTGTGACATTACTTTTATATAAAATAATATCCATATTCACTCCCATATTAATCTCATTAATATTAAACACAGCTCTAAGGATATTCTCTCAGAAATTAGCCTTTACACATTTATTAGAACCATCTTAAAGGGCCAGAGACATAGTGAATCCTATGAAGCATTATAAAGCTTATAGCCATGCTTTACAGCCAAAGCACATGGTAACGTGCAATTTGTCACAGTCTATAAAAACAGTTACGCAGCACATAGACTTGAAATAAGCACAAACAGCCTTGATAATGACTGTAAAACACAACTGACGACAAGCCTGTGAACCATCCACAGGCTGACACACGTGCAGGCACACCCTGACCAAAAGGTCACTTTCCCTAGAGATAGCTATACACAGCCATGCACATACACATGCATGTCTTTCAAACACATGGCACGCAAGTACTAGGCCTGTCACAGTTATTACACGATCACTTGATCGCAATGTTTGAGCTGACCATAATTTCTATCAGTTTTTTTTTTATCAGTTCTAGCTTGACTTTGGCAAATTATATCTAACAGTGATTTTTCTGACTAATGTTATGAATGCAATTTAAATTGCTTTTCATTTCAATTTTTTTAGGCCTAAATTCTTTTAGCCAAGAAGACCAGCATATCCACTTGTTCAACCCTGAACATATTGTGTCAGACTGCAAGTTACTTGTGGTTGTGGTCTTTGGTTGCTTCTGATTGGTCTAACTCACCTCAGGAGGCTCACAAGCTCTGTGTATTATTAGGTTAATTTCCCCACTTAAAACTTGTTAAGACAACACTGTTGATAATGTCATCTGTGATAATAACAGTAAGGCAAGGCAAGTTTATTCATACAGCACCTTTCATACACAATAACTGTGTATAGTAGTAATTGCACTGTTTCAAATTGCGATTTCCTTATAAAAAGATCAACGCTTAGTGTCCTAAAGCAGAAGATCTACAGTAAAGCCGTGGTGGTGGTATGATTGTGGTACAAGTCCACCAGGCATGTATGCCAGTGGCTCACCCAGGATAACCTCTCAAATGTCCTCAACACAAAACAGAAGGTTTCACTTGGGTTGCGCAAATAGGCAGGAAACACATTTATGGAGACACCACAGATCTTAGTGAAATAAAAACCATTCTAACTTCTGATCTGGTGCCATAGCACCCTTATCCTACATTCACACTGGCAGCAACAGACCGCTGGTTGCCATGGTTTCATTGACGTCAAACAAAAATCAGATGCATTTCCGCTAGAAGTAAAAAATCCTGGTGAGGAATCGCTTGTGTGCTTATTTGTATTTAATCCCTGTGTCTGTGCAGTCAGTTTGTGAGGAAAACAGTATTTGGTCTTTGTCACTACTGTCCATTTGAGATGATGCACCGCCACCATTATTCCACCTGTAGTAGGAACAATTATCCAGGAACCAAAAATGGATTGTACTGTTTCACAGTGAGAGATAAAGCGCTTACTGCGCTGCTCAATGCTCATTTCCTATTGGTAATCACCACATCGCTTCGCTCTTTATTTGCAGTTAAAGTTAAATTTTGTCACGTCACGGACTCCGCCCACTTTGCGTCACCAACATTCGCGCCGCCTCCTATCGCCGGAAATCGCCAACTCTCATTGAAAATCCAGCCACTTTGTTGCATCACATCACTGAAGATCTTAAGTGACCCTTATTAATCCCACAACGAGGAATTTCACCTCCGCATTTTAACCCATCTGTGCAGTGAAACACCACATACACACTAGTGAACACACACTAGGGGGCAGTGAGTACACTTGCCCGGAGCGGTGGGCAGCCCTATCCACGGTGTCCAGGGAGCAGTTGGGGGTTAGGTGCCTTGCTCAAGGGCACTTCAGTCATGTCCTGTTGGCTCTGGGGATCGAACCGAACCGGTGACCTTCCGGTCACAAGGCTGGTTCCCTAACCTCCAGCCCACGACTGCCCTCTTGTGAATGCAGGGTTAGAGGGCAGCAGTGAGAAATGTTTATTTGAGCTAGAGCTGTTTCTGTAATCAGTTGGGAGCGGCTAAGTTTTGAAAGATAAGAAGCAAAACAGCTAATCAGCCAATTTGGCCACTTTCATTGTAATTCAATGAAGAAAATAGTTAAATTGTTACTCAAAATTATTTATATGGCAATTAACTTTCCTTTAACTAATAATTTCACAATCATGACAGGCCTACCAAGAACAAGAGTGAAGCAAATCTGAACAATGTAAAAACTTAAATAAATAACAATAATGAGGTTATAAAACATTGCAAAAAAGTGAAAAACATAAATGCCATGTGACACACACACCACACACAAGTACACACAGCAGGCGTGCTTAAAGAAGAGTGGAGAGTGTACCGTACCTATCTTTGATCTGTTTGGCAGCCTTGGGAAGGTGAAAAGGGGAGCAAGAGACAAAAAGGGAGAAAGAAGAAGAGAGGTCGTTAGTAGAGCCATGCAGGTGAAGGGTCAGCATGCAGCACTGCTCAGCAGTGGACAATATTCACATGCATTAATTAATTATTTCACTTTCTCTCTATCTCTCTCTCTCTCTCTCTCTTATACATACATTCACGTACACCAAATTGTCAATTTATTAGAAACACCTTCCATACAGGTGCACTACATAGGGTTACAATTACTAAGTGTAGCACATCTGTTGCTGCAAAAAATAAACACAGGACCACCACAGGACCACCACAGGACCACCACTGATTATGCATGACAACAGACAGACTACAATCTGTAATTATAAACCTCAAAATGCATATGGTGTTTCTGATAAAGTGGCCAATTAGGCTACATTCACACATCAGGTAAAAGTGGCCCAAATCTGATTTTCTCACCAAATCCGATTTTTTTGTTTGGCAGTTCACTTTATGTTCACATCAGTCTGAACAGATCAGCTCTTAAACTGACCAGCATACACAAAAGAACAGAGCTTCACGCTGCTCCACGCGGCTCATCCAGAGGTAAACCATCTCCAACGAATGCCAGTCGCTCCCGAAGGATCAGCTTCATCTTCACCAGCATCACAGGAGCCATCATGAAGCTTCACTGACCGACAGCTGGGCTCATCACCCAGAATGGGTTCAAGCTTGTCGTAAAAAGGGCACGTTATTCGGACAGGGTCACTTCTCTGGTTCGCGTCGAGTTGGATTGACGTAAAAGTCGCATGAATCCAATCTGGCTGTTCAGACTGAGTCGCATTGCCGCAGATCGGATACGTATCAGATTTCAGTACCACATATGAAAGCGTCTCAAATCGGAATTGAAAATGTCAGATTCAGTGTGTTTATCTGTTCACACTGACACACATCTGTGTAACATATAAGGAAAAAGATCGGATTTCGGCTACTTTTACCTGCTGTGTGAACAAAGCCTTAGTGAAGATACAAGGTAGGTGTACCTAATAAATCGGCAACTCTGAGTATAAGAAGATGAGTTGTGATCATTCATACTGTGACTTCATCACTACGTAACAATTCATCAATTTATAACACTGTTAGGTTTCAGTTCAACCAATTACCGCACGAAATCTGTTAACTGTTGTCTGTTTTTTCATTAAAGAACTGGGTTGCTTAGTAGTACAAAGATTTAATTTGTGCAAAGAAAAATCATTGTTGTTACTGGATAAGTTGAACATATCAACAGTGAAAAGAAATCACAGCGTCTTTAAATGGAATCATTTATAAACACTTTACAAATGATGTTAATTAAAAACCAAATTACTCTTCCTTCACTGTAATAAAAAACATGGTACATGGTTCCCCATGGCACCCTCAAAGATGGTCCTCAAAGGATCTCAACATATAAATAATTAAGATGTAAACAAAGTTATTTTGATTGGTTTTGTATAAAACACTCTGTCCTAGAGAAACATGCCTAGTCAGAACTGTGGAGGTGACACTGGCGGTGACAGGAACCAGGAGCCGCATTACAGAAACTTCCTAGCTTTTTCTCTTAACTTAAGATCTGACAGGTCAAGATAAGATTTTTCACAAATTCATATTACAGAAGCAAATCTTATCTTAATTTAGGAATCTTATCTTATCTTATCTTACAGCATCTTTTCTTATCTCAAGTTAAGAAATCTCAACTCACTTAAACGAAGTCGACAATCAACTGTCACGTCTGTTACCTAGCAACCGACCATACGCGCACACATAAAAAGAAATGTAAACATATAATCAAAGTAATCAAACAAACTAAAGCGCGATAAGCTGAAAGCTAAGAATATTGTGGCAGCGCTTCATGCTGTTTATCAGAGCGTTGCTATCTCCAGTTTCAGTCTCCATTTCCCAAACACTTTAGCCGAGTCTAGCCGAGTCTGGAATTAGGATAAGATTATGAACTTAAGAGCTGTTATTCTGTAATAGCTACTGTCTTAAATTCAGTCCTTACTAAAGTTGTCATGGTGACTGAGCAGGTAAGATTCCAGATTACAGAGTTTCTGTAATACGGCCCCAGATGTCCAAAAAAGGTTATTTAATGAAATAGTTTTCAAATGGTTTGAAATAGTCCAAAAAAGAGATTTTTTTTTTCAGATTTATCACTGTTTTGCTATCATTAACATTCCATATAAAACTCAGACGACATGTAGTAAATAAAATGGACATATTTGTGCTGTAGACATGGCAACCCCTGGTTCCTATCACCACCGCTGTAATACTCTGAATAACTTTGTTAACATCTCAACGATTAAATTATGCTGAAAATCAGTGGAATTGCCCTTTAAAGTCCAATTGTGTACCTTCAGAAAGTTTTAAAGATACAGTACATCAATATAATACATTATATTGATACGGCCCTGACTAAAGGTACTGAAGATGTACTCCTGAGTGACAGTATTTGTACCCAAAAAAGTACAGTTTATGCAATCATCTTGCATCATTCTGTTGTGGAATTTCATGGAATTTCCTACCTACTACTCATAATAATTAGAATTTTCTAAGCACATGTGGCACAGAACCAACATCCTCATTAGGAAACAGGAGGAAAAGTCTTTCAGTACAACATCAAATGAGCAGTTTAGTATACTGTTATAGCTATATTACCTTAGCAAATTCTTCCTCATCTTTGATATCCAGGGCGTGGTTTGCAAACTCCAGCAACTCCTCCGCACTCTCCAATGCATTGGTGCTCTGAGTCAACTGATTCTAAAAGAGAGAAGACAAATAAATAAATTAAAAAATCAAAATAAAAAATAATTTTAGTACGAATACATGCCATGTTCACCTGTTCAAAAAGAAAACACAAAGATATCTGGTCAATTGGATAAACTGATATTCTTCATATCGCGGCATGTTATAGGTATAACCATCACTGTAATAATGGATTGTGTTACTAACAACAATCTTGTTTTCTTTTCTACATGGGCGTAAAAAAGTGGCAATTCAACTGCATCAATTTTGGAACATTACAACAGATTTTAACTGATTATTATATTCAGTGAATTATGTGCTCATTTGTGGCTACAATAAAACTCTCAGGCTACATTCAAATGTGAGAATCTAAAAAGGTTTGGTGTTTTGTTTTCATGTCCTGCTGTATAAATAATACCTCCAGTCACACTCGTGTATTCTTTTTTTGTTCTTTTTCTTTTTAACCCAATATTCTCCCCAATTTAACCATTGGTAACCCCACCTGCTAGCTAGCTCTCTCCTAGATATACATATCTAGATGCTGCGTTGGGTCCAGCCAGACACATCAATGGCGCCACCATTTTGGGAGGCGGTTAACATCGCTGCCGGACTGCATTCAGTACCATTACAGAGCGGCAGTTTAAGAAAGATACTGTCCAAAATTACACTATTTCAGGAATATTACTCTCAGAAAGTGGGATAGGATTATATAACGGAGGGAACGCAGTGATCCACACTCATGTCTGTGTGATGTGTATTGTTTGTGTGGTGTTTATGTAGATATGGTCGTGTGGTTGGTGAGGAACAGAGAACCTGTTGATGTGATTGTTTTTCCTCTGGTTTTATATGAAGCTTATTTCATTTAATAGTCTATTCAGGGGGTCTTAACTTGATGTAGTTGTTATTTATTTACAGTGATGGTTAAAGCTTTGTAGCTCGGTAAGTTACAGCATTCCTTAATCCGTGTAGATATTCATAATAGATTAGCGTTAGCACCTTCTTACACCAAGCTGAGGTCAGATTCTTATTCTCCAGCTTCTTGTTTGAATTTTCCCATTCCACCTTAAATGGTGCAGCTTCAGGCTCCAGAAAGTGACTGCTGCACCATTTAAGGTGGAACGGGAAAACTTGAACAAGAAGCTGGCGAATAGGAAGCCGACTTCAGCTCCGTCCTTCTCACTGTGTTTTGGGGGTTTATTTTATGTTTATGTGTATTAAGATTAGAAGTGATTCCCTCAGTGATGGATCTGCTGATGTGTGTGAGTTTGTGTTTTTACTCGCGCTAAACTCGGTTTTTAACGTCAGGTGCAGACTGAATACTTTCCTGCTGGTCCGGACGGCTAATTATCACGATCAGTTATTAAAGTAGTAAAAGCTACCGAGAGCAGATCCGTGCAGCCCAGATTAATCTGTGTCTGAGGATTATAACTAAACACATTTGGTGAAAATCGGTTGAGTAATAAGGAAGTTGTGGCTGATTTAATCCTGAGACTCATCGTCTCTCAATACAAGTGAATCTGTTCACAAGCGGATTTTGACCTCTCCAACATGGCGGACATAGGTATGTATATCTATGGGTCTCTCCCTGTCACATGATGCTAACAAACTGGGAGGGTTCCAAATCACATGAAGAGCCACCGCATCTTTTCAAAAGGCCACTAATGTAACATCACTAGACAGCTCAACACGCCTGGAGGAAAACATTAACTGCCAATTTTGTTACGTCAGCTAACAGACACCAATGTCGGCTAACATCATGCTCAAATAATGGGGGGAGAGGGGGGCCCATCCTAACCACCCAGAGAAAGCGAGGCCAATCATACCCTCTTGGACCAGCCACAGATGACTGTAGCATCAATGAGGGATTGAACTAGCAATCTCCTGATAATACAGCCAAAGCTAAGTGGCTTATCTATTTCGCTCACCAGTTTTAGTGATGGCCAGCTCCACCTGAAGCTAGGTCTCCCCCAGTTGTGTGATGCAACAGAGCTGGGGGGAGTGAGGTCTAGAACAGGGGTTCTCAGCCTTTTCCACCACAAGGCCCACCTCTTTATAACTACAAAGCATAGCTGCCCACAGCCAGAGTAAAACCAACTGCAGTGATGTTAAAAAACAAGAAAAAAAAAAAGAATAGAAATGTACAAGGTGGATGTAGATCGTGATTTGGAGCTGCAGTCTATCACGTTTTCAGTGGAAATACTCAACCAGCTTTCCCACAAGAGTAACTGTTTGGTCTCTGGATGTCTCTTTAGGAGAGGTTTACCAGAGTCAAACGTTAAAACAGGCAGATTATGCTGACACTACGTGCTGCTAGGAGATAAGCAAGCTTTATTCATGAACTCCTTCGTTTCATCAGAGAATGTGTTCCCATCCGCAGTGAATCAGGGTTTGCTTGAAAGCGGACCGAGACCCGCGCTTTTTTGCCGACCCTCAGTTCAGCTGTCTGTTGCAGGCCTGAATATACAGGTGGAGTATTCACAGATATCAAACCGGAGCAAACTAAAGAAAACATCTGGCAGGTCCACACCAAACAAGGCAGGTGTAAAAGGGCCCTGAGAAACTTCTCCATCTCTGGCTCACTATCTGCATCTCGCGCTCGCAGCTGTGTTGTCTCAAACTGATGATGTTTATTTAGCCCATTGCTACTGTAATGCTTTTATTTGTATGTCCACTGGTTATAATATGATAACTTTATTCTTCGATTTTTATTAACAAATTAACAATATTTTTTCACTTTTATGACTTAAACTACCAACTAATGCCCCCTGCCCCGCGAATGGGCTCATGGACAACTACAACGTGCTTCATGGCCCACTGGAGGTCCGCAGCCCACAGGTTGAGAAACCCTGGTCTAGAACGCACTTCCTCTGAGATTTATGAGGCATGAGTGCATCTTTTCAAACTGCCGCTGACCATGCATTGAAGAGTTTTTTGACTTGTAAAGCTCATAGCCATAAACAAAGTTTGCATGTTTGCATGGCTAGAGAAGTTTACAATGCTACAATGCCAGGTCCACCTGTTTATAACGACTAAGCTTCCCACAGCAAGAATAAAACCAACTGTTTGTGCAGTGATGTTAAAAAACAAGGAAAAAAGAATAGTGGAGGATGTGGACCGTGATTTGGAGCTGCAGTCTATCGCGTTTTCAGTGAAAATGCTCCTTTGGCTTTCCCACAAGAGTATCTGTTTGGTCTCTGGATGTCTCTTTAGGAGAGGTTTACCAGAGTCAAACATTAAAACAGGCAGATTATGCTGACACTACATGCTGTTAGAAGATCTCCTCCGAGAAAATCTCCTCCGAGATTTATGAGGCGTGAGTGCTGCTGATCTTGGTGAAATCTAAAATTTCAAGTTGCATTGAAGAGGTTTTTTTTTTTTTATTGAAAAATTAACTTGGGTCCCACTTTATATTGTGTCTAATAACTGTGTAGTTACACATGAATAACATATGCAACAGCCATGTAACTACTGATGATTTAGGCAATGTTACAGATGGATTACAGAGGTACAGCCTATGTAATTATATGTGTATCAACTTCAGTTTTGCCTCATGTAATTACACAAGTGTCCTTTTTAATACGTTACAGATTAAAGTCTTTTCCAGCAGTTAAAGGAAGGATGTTTTACATATCACATTTATGTTTTAGATAATTACTGTGGAATAACTGTGTTGTCACAAGGTAACCTAATCACATCACATTGATTAATACCATTCTGTAATTACACTGTACCTACATAACAACTACACAGGAACCTCCCTGTAGTGCAGTGTTAATAAGTGGACAGTTCCTGTGTAGTTGTTATGTAGGTACTGTGTAATAATGCAGTGGTAATATAGACGTTGCTTTAAAGTTCCATGTTAATATAAGGGGTCGTCTGCTGTTCTGTCACATTACAGAATGGTTTAAAGCTGAAACTGGTTACAGTGTCACAGCATTAGCAACATAAATGCTGGCTAAATGTTAGGAAAGCTGGCAGATACAGTGTCAGTAATGTCTTAATGTAAGTTATTACAGACTTCCTTTCACTGCTGGAAAAGACCAGAAAACAACTGCTGTTCCAGTCTGATTACAAATGTAATTACATTGTGTTATTACCCTTGTGTAATTACATGAGAGAGAATAGGCTGTTACAGCTATTAAGATACACTTGTGTAATTACATGAGGCAAAGCTGAAGTTGATACACATGTGTAATTACATAAGCTGTACTGCTGTAATCCATCTGTAACAGTGACTAAATCATTAGTAGTTACATTGTTGTTGCATATGTTGTTCACATGTAACTACACAGTTATTATAGACACTTAATATAAAGTGGGACCAACTTGTTTAGCACCTGCACAGTTGTGGTGCTTATTGAAGCTCATGGCCATAATGAAGGTTTGCACGTAATGGCTAGAGAAGGTTACACTGCTATGCTGCGGTACTGAGACGGGCTCTGTGACACTGGGTCAGCGGGTCTGGAGAGTGTCCATCAGCTTCTGCTGACTCACTCTGATTCCTATCAGAGCACAATTGAGTTTCTCATCTGTTTAACTGTGCTCATCCTCCCTCACTCACTCTCCCTTTCTATCTCGCTTTCTTTTCCTTCCTCTCCTCACCCTTTCAGCTTTTGTTTTACTTCGTCTCACCCTTCTCAGGTTCCCCCCAGCAGGCAGAAAAAGGGTTTCAGTGAAGTCTCTGAGTGTGACTCTTCTTAACCTATTTACACACAATAGAGTGACTCATGATGACAGTAAACGGTGGCAAGAAGCTGTTCACGGATGCCAAAGGGGCGAGAGCGAACTACAAGAGGCACTAACACCAATTAAAACTACTAACTAACTAAACTACTACATTACAACTAGAAGTAGAGATGCACTGATATGGGAATTGTGAGCTTAGCATAGCAACCCAGCATCATCTAAACATTCTTCTGGAGTCCAATAAATGATCAAATATCGGTTTGAAATGTCATCTAAACAACTGCCTGATGACAATATACATATTTTTTTTAACCAATGATCCTGACACTGCTTTTTTGTTCGACAAACTACCATTCTGAGTTAAAAAATGCATCAATAGAAATATACTATATACCCAAGTGGCTTTTTATGGTTGCTAAGGGTGTAGTGATTTCAATACAGTATCAAAAAAATAGAAATTTATTTTCATTAACCATCTATATGGAGTTAAATCAGTGTCACCAGAACCTGAACCTGAATTTGTGATGCTGAACCTGAATTCCTGATGCTTTTTTAAGTTGAGAAATTCAGGTGGTAAAATTCAGGTCTGAAAAAATTCAGGTGGTAAAATTCAGGTCTGGAAATTCAGGTCGTAAAATTCAGGCAGTAAAATTCAGGTCAAAAAATGTAGGTGGTAAAATTCAGGTCTGGAAATTCAGGCAGTAAAATTCAGGTCAAAAAATGTAGGTGGTAAAATTCAGGTCTGGAAATTCAGGTGGTAAAATTCAGCTTGTAAAATTCAGGTCTGGAAATTCAGGGAAACATCCAGGTACTTGGGAAGAGCAAACAAGCGTGCACGTTTCCTTACATCACTGCTACACACTCAGCGCACTTAAAATCTTTAAACATTGTTAAGGTAATATGATTACTGCTTTAAAATGGAGCATGGGAATTTATAGGGAGTTAGTTTGAAAGGAGGAGGGGTTTCAGGCATGGTCATCCTCCTAAACTTTAGTTATTCCATCACTGTGAAAAAAACTCCTACTTAAAGAAGAATTTCAATGGGAATACCAGACAAACCAGTATACCGCCCACTACTAATGCTAATGACACATTACACACAGACAGCTAGGAAGTGGTTGGGGTGGACAAAATTACAAGTAAATGAAATGTGTGGAAATGCTTTCTGTTTGTGAGCAGACAAACATGTTTAGTGAAAAATTAATTACCCTCACCCGACTCTGTCATTTATACTGAGATTTCTATCCCAGTTGTAAACATTACAGATGGCCGGAGTTAAGATTACAGCAGCCCACCTAAAATGTATCCCTTCACAATACGATTAGGGCTGTAACAAAGACTCTGACTGCATAAACCTCAATACATGAGGCAAGAGAGGATGTGGGTTTTTTTGAGTGTAAAGCTGATACATTCTCAGAAATGAAGGTACTAAACTGGTCACTGGTTCAGTGCCCCTGTTGTCATTGGGGTGGAACCCTCAAGGGTCCATCTCAGTACCTTTAGTCAGGGAACATAACTGAACCATAATCCACTGAAATGATATGTTCTAAGCTGTACTGACTCCACACACCCCGTCTCGTCTCCAGGCTTTTATTTTACTGTTCTGTTTAAAACATTCGGTTATGAAAAGGTACAAATACGAACTTTTCACCTGGAAAAACTTATTTCCAAACGCTTTAGCCGTAAAACTTCACAGTTTCCACAGTTTCAGTCTCCATTTCCCAAACGCTTTAGCCGAGCGCGCTAACGTTATTCCTCCTAATAAACAGACAAACGTTCAGCTCCGTCTCCTCATTATTCACCACCATCACTGTAATATTTTATCAACATTAACACATGAAGGTACGGTGGAGATCGAGTCTGCAGAGTCTGGGGCTTTTAAACGCTGTTAGAAAAAAACAAGTCAAAGCACCGTTTTCAGTGTAAATAAATGTAGCGTCATTATGCTGGTTATAGTGAACTGTGCTGCCTATCACTGCATAAAACAATAAAAACAGACGGTTAAACAGAAGTGAAGATGCTCTGGGGTTTATCTTACAGTTAAGAAAATATTTAGGATATTTTGACAACTTAGGATGTTTCTGTAAAACCGTTTTCTTATCTGGAAATAAGATTATAGACTTAAGAACTGTTGTTCTGTAATAGATTCTGTCCTAACTTCAGTCTTAACCCAGACAGCAAGCATATATCGGTCCACTGGCCTGATAAGGTCGGCACCCCGCTAACTGTTTGCCACTGCTGGTCTCCCCTCGGACCACCCAGATTACTGTCCTGCATACAAACTTTAACTAGTTTCTAATCTCCTGCTACAGATTTTAAATGCACAGAGACTTTTATTTTAGAAAATACATACATACACACATACATACATACATACATACATCATCTAAACCGCTTATCCTTCTGGGTTGCGGTGGGTTGCTGGAGCCTATCCCAGCTGTCATTGGGCGGAAGGCAGGATACTTTTAGAAAATAAACTTAGACAAATTTTACAAACAACAGAGTGAAAAAAAATAATGACTGGGCCTGATATAAAATGATTTATAGAAAATATGTTGTTGCTGTCACCGTGTAAGATTAAAATTATTTACTAAACTATTTTACAAAGTAAAACTAAAGACAGGAAGGAAGGAAAAAAAACAGTAAAATGGACTGTGGGTGAAAAATGACATTTTGTCTAATACTCCCCTTAACCACCGGTGGGCTGCCCGGAACACGCTGAGCAAAACACCAATGGACCGCCAGCTTTGCCATTAGTGGGCCGACAGTAGACCACCGTCCTCTTGCTATCAGTTGCCATGACAACAAAGCACATCTCATACTTAAGAATTTTCTGCAATAAGGTCCCTGGACCTTAAACCATTGTTGCACCTTTGAGGGGACATTTACATTGTCTGTACCTTAATGAATGAATAATGTACCTGCGCAGAATCTTTATTTCTAACAGTGCACTAATACAACGAAGTAATACGAGAACAAATACGAGTTCTGCAGAGCAGCAGGAGGCGGCTGCTATCCGTGTACTGGAGTTGATGTAATGAGGGCCTGAATGCACCGGGTTCTGATGAGTAATCTCTTATCTGGGCTAATTTCACTCTTTGGTATTGTTCCTGCTCAGTGGACTCAGAAGGCAGCCACAGAACTGCCATGGCAGCATGATGACATCATCCTGACTGGCCCGAAGAGTACAAACTCCAACAACACAAGCGAGCACTCACAGCACAGTTACTGAGAACGCCCACTTTTTGGGATCATAATCTATAATAAACTATAAAAGCCGCCACTTTCACCCTCCAGTGAATCTGAAACACATGAATCACATCAATGTTTATGCCCACATCTCTCACAAAATGTACCTACCTGTAGTTCATGTGACTTCCTGGCCTGTTCCTGTTTAATGGTATTGGTCATGCTCTCCTTGGCTTCTTCCAGGATGGAAAACAAGGTGTCGAACTCCTCTTCCAGGTCAGACACTACCTGGCTGGAGTTGACCTGATGCAACAGAACACAAATATTTAACTCTCTCCTGAATGCATTAGGAGAGAATCTTTTTTTTAATGTTCAATTCACTTTTCATGCATAAATGGACCTGATTTTTAAACTCAAAAACCATAAAAATAAATGTATCCAAGGGTTATTTGGGATATGTTGCCTTGAGGCAACACTGTGCAACTATGAGAAGAAATTATATATTGCCATGTGCTTGTAACTGGCTAAATCCATTCCTCTGTCACACAATGTTGCTTCTAGGCAACAAACATATTTCTGCAAATTCTCATAACAAAAAAAAAAATAATACTGAATGTTAAAAAGAGATTTGAAAGTGCCCAAAGAGATAGGGAAGAGCCACATAATGTCTCTGACTTAATGTGCCAGCTAACGTTAGCTGTTTGTACCAAGCTGATCATGTTTTATGATGATTTATTGCATTCGCTTTTTAAAGATGAGTACAAAATTCGCCGGTGATGCAGAAAAGCTGCTTTATGTTAGCTGGGCAACCCAGTTTGGGATAATAGGTACTGTTAGCAATGGCTTCCTCTTAATATAAACAGAGTTTATCAAATTCATACTGCATATAAAGGCTCTTCTTTCTTTTGAAAGCAGAATATTACAGAAATCGCTGGCAGGTTGTACAAAGACACATACAGCTTGATGTGAGCAGCTGCAGCAAAAACTGGGCTACATCACACATACAGCATTTTAGCTCTGTTTACAGTTAAATCAGTGCTTCTATTCACTTCTCATTCCCGCTGTTTATCACCACAGTGCAGGAAAACTAACATATGCCTGTTGCAGCTCAGTGTTTGAGTATTATAGTTCACTACTATAACACTGTCATCGCTTCTGCAGCAGTTATATGGAGCGGAAGTGAGTTTTACCCTAAACGCTTCAACTGGAATTAATCACGACTCTTTGCGAAAAGGGTCCATTTCAGCTGACCCCTCTGTGCTAAAGGAAAAGTGTTGATTGCTGGATTTGTATTTTTTTCCATATTGATCTTCACACAGCCTCGACTCTGAGTGTCTCACCTGAACTCCAGCCAGCAAGTGACTCAGCGTCTCAATAAAATTGTGGAGCTCCTCATTTTTATTTGCTAACGTGGCGATTATCCTTTGTAGGGCCTCCTGAAAGACACAAAAAAGTTCTGAGTTCATTACTATCTGAATGTTCACACAGAGCTACTAATGTAATGAATGAAAGCACAATGTACTCAAAATACACCGTCATGTAGTCACATTTTGTAATGTTTTGAGTCTGACAGGAAGATAAATACTAGAAATGTCACCTTGGATTTGAGCCAAAACCCCAACAACAGATCCCAAATCACTAAACCTGTGTGACCCTCATGCTGTAGTTGAATACACAACTGTCCCAGATACACTGCAATACATAAAGCACCTTAAAAAATGAGGTGGGAAACTGTCACTTAACAAAACCTTCTATCTTGAAAATGAAAGGTTTAAAGGAGAAGTAAGACATTTTATTAACCTGTAATGGGAGTTAATGTAAAAATATTTTTTTGCAAGTGACTTTGATACATTTGTATTGGTCCGTTTATCATGAAATTGGTATTTGTAAATTATGCAAAAAGGTTAAAAACAGGATAAAAGTCAGTAAACATTTTATGTTGGCCGCTGTTTTATAAAAGCAGTAAGCCACTTGAGGTCGCGCATTACAGTGATTTTATCACAGGGAAGGGAGTTTTAGGCCAAAGAACACCCTTCCCTGTGATAAAATCGCAGTAACCCATGGCCTCTTGTGGCTTATTGCTTTATCGCGGCCCGCTGGAGCACAGCGAAGCAAATCAAAAGATGTTTTAGAGGCAAGCAAAAGCCATTATATTTTGATGGTAGTTTACAGGAAAACAAAAAATGTGGCTTGTAAATAGTATAACACAATAAATTGTGCTTTGCTTTACCACAATCGTGAACTATCAAGGTAAAAAGGTCCAATAAAATTCTATTTTTTAATGAAATTATTTACTGATGTCTAAAATAAAAATAGAGTAGAAGCATACCTTGTGTTACTAAGAACAATGAGTTAATCCAACTGCCTACTACTATTTCTGTCAACACGCTGTAAAGAACCTTAGCTGAACCTCTACAGTCACGCTGGCCTGTACTGAGGACGCTGTCAACTGAGGCTACAGACGGGGGCTGAGCAAACTGCCGAAAGAGAGAGACTGAACACCACAAAGTGCCACAAACTTGTCTCTACTTCACACTGTTATCTAAACACATAAACAACACATAGCGCAGCATGAGCATCTACTAAAGTCATTACTTTTACTCCTATGTAAAAGCACAGGTTGTTACAGTCAGTCTTACCTGCTCTGTCTGTCAATATTCACTAGTTTATTTGCATGTACTACTCTGGACACTCCTGAATAACCTTCAGCTTTAGCAGCAGTACATACAGGTTTATGATGTGGTTGCAGGATTGTGAAATAGTGCTGTAAAACTAGACAGGAATGAACAGCTACCTAGTACCACCTGCTTGAGTACAGCAGGTGTACAAACCAAACTGTTTGAGCTTAAATCATACTATACAACATTCAGTTGTATACGGGTCATTCTACAGAAACGTCCACTTTTCTATCTTTCCATAGGAGTCACTGGTGTTACTGACCGTCATTGGTGTTATACATAATAAAGGGAACACCAGAGACATTTTTAATGAACAATGCATTTTACAGAATGGCTGCTACAGAGCATCAAACCACATGTTGTCAATCATGGAATATCCACTAAAATATGTCATTTAATCCATTTGTATTCTATTTTTTCACAGTTACCTCAGAATAAAGTGGGTCACACCAGTGACTTCAGCTAAAAGCTTCATATGAAATCATGAGCTAAATGAGAAAATCTCTGATAACTGAAAGACACAGTGGACTCACCATGTGCTTTTCTTCATAGATCCTCAGAAAACAGGTAAAAGGAGGTCGAGTGATGTCATCAGTGTGACTTTTATTTCAAAATAAGAGATTTTTTGTTACGCAGTAACACCAGTGACACAACTCCTGGGGACCACAACTTTCTTTATGTATTTTATAATATTTATTTGTTTTCTTTATGCCGTTTAAATCATATATTTCATAGTCATGTATAGATTATTGCGGTTAAAATTGTAGAAAAATGTTTTTTACCTCAAAATATGGCCTCAGCCTTCACACATGGCTGTGAGGACGAGCTCTTCTGTGGTGCTTGGAATCCTATATGATCGATTTATAAAGCAATATTGCTAAATTGAGGCTCAAGAAGGTGTAACTGTTAAAATAACTTATTGTTTTATTTTAAAATATAAATAAAGTGTAACTCTAACATGTTTTTCAAGTGTAATATATCTGTAAACGCTAGGGACACAAAAATGGACGCTTCTGTAGAATGACCCATATGCTAAATGTCCAAAAGTCTGTAGCTCTTCGATTTCTTCTGAAATCATAGATTTAATAGGAAGTTTTCGCTCTCTTTGTTGCAGTAACAGCCTCTACTCCTCTGGCAAGACTTCACACTGAATGCTGGAACATTGCTGTGAGGATTTGATCGAAATCAAACACAAGAGCATTAGATTGCAAACATCACTCCAGCTTATCCCAAAGTTTTTACTCAGTGCTTCTTCAAGCTGGACCAGAAAGGTTGTTAACTGGCAGCAGAATGGGTCGTACTGAGGAGCCTTTAAACACGGCACTGGCATAGGACACTACCTTGCCACTAGGGGTGGGTTTAAAAAATTGATTTTTTGACTCAAATCGATCTTCATGTGAATGATCCGCTATCAATTCATCTAAACCCGAGACCAATCTTTAAAATTAGCCTATTCCCCCACAAACATTGTTTCACAGTCAACAGAGAGGGCCAACCTAACCAGTCAAACGGCCAGCAATTTAGCCAAACTACTGCCCGAGGCAATAGAAGAGTGGGAGCTTGCCAAGATCCAGCTATTGCGACAGACAACGCTGCGAACACGACCCATGCTGTGGAATTAACCCCACACACTCAATTCAGCCTCACTGGCAGCTCTCAAAATTCCACCTGTTGCATGTTTCCTTGGCTGAGATGCATTACATCATTTTTTCATTGCAGCACTACTGCAAGCCAAAAATTCAAAGAGAAGCAAACGATACTGGGGCTGCCTGCACACAAGTCGGTGACTGACATGACGACTCACTGGAACAGCGCTGTTAGGAATGTTCCCGATTACAACATTAGCTCTCTGAAAATCTCTTTTCATATCCAAACAAAACCTGTTATTGTAACTGACATATCCCTAAATTAATCGAATCAAATCGGAAATGGAATCGATTTGTGACATTGTGAACCGGAATCGAATCGATTCGGGAAGTCGAAGGTGATACCCAGCCCTTTTTGCCACAAGTCAGTCACAAGTCTTAAAATTTCTGCCCTACTAGATCTGCCCCAGCCAACTGTAAGTGCTATTACTGAGAAATAGAAGTGTCTAGCAGCGACAGCAGCTCAGCTAAAGCAGCTAAACCCCCTGTCCTCTGTTGCATCACTCACAACAGACTTCCAAACTGCCTCTGGAAGCAACATCAGCACAGGAAATTGCACATGCGCGATGCCAAACATTTTGCTGGAGGGGTGTAAAGCACCTTCTTAGGAGCGATCAGTCACACTTCACTGTCAATCTGATGCAGTCTGATGGATAAATCTGGGTTTGGAAGATGCCAGTAGAGGGCTACCTACCAGAATGCACAGTGCAAACAGTAAAGTTTGGTGGAGGAGGGATAATGGTCTGGGGCTGTTTTTCAGGGTTAGGGTTAATGTTAATGCTACAGCACACAAAGACATTTGTGAACATTACTCTGTGGCAATAGTTTGGGGAAGGCCTTTTTTCCAGCATGACTGAGCCCCTGTGCACAAAGCAAGGTCTATGAACACATGGTTTGAACAATTAGATGTGGAGGAACTCCACTGGCCCACTCAGAGCCCTGACCTCAGGGTTCAACAATAACGACTGCCCAAATGCCCGGAACAAGTGAAACAAGTGCTGAGAATGATCCACCAACCAAATAGTACCTGCTCTGTGAGGGTCCATGGGGGTCCTGACCACTGAAGAACAGGGCTAACAAAGTATGCAGAGAAACTGATGGACTACAGTCTGTAACTGTAGAACTACAAAGTGCACCTATATAGTAAGTGGAGCTGATAAAATGGACAATGAGCGTAGAAACAAGGAGGTGGTCAAAATGTTATGCCTGATCGGTGTAGGTGTGAGGGTCAGGTGTCTACATACTTTTGCCCATGTAGTATATCTTGTCAGGCCTTATCTACAATGGAGCCACCGATGGTGCAAGTAAACACATTACACATTAAAACCTACACGAGACAAAATAACACCACATTCTGACCTAATTCATTACGATGGCCACAGTACTTGATGTTCATTTTCATTTTTAGACTGCTATGGTGAATCCATCCTCCAAGGCTTGTTCAGCCTGGCCTATATACTAACTCATGCGGAAGTCCCACAGACGCGCTATGTGAAGAGAATTGTCCATTTGGGTTCAATCTGAGACACAGAAAACAGCAATTTCAAGCGACTAACACCATCAAGTGTTGTAGCTTCACTTCAAAATAAATGGCAACATGGAGATACTGTGCATACAATACACTGACTGTGGGGAGCATAGATCCAAAAACAAACACTAGCATTAGAGTCATTCAGTGGAAACGTCCATTTTTGTGTCCCTAGAGTTTACAGATATATTACACTTGTAAAAAACCTGTTAGAATTTATTTATATTTTACAATAAAACAATACGTTATTTTAACAGTTACACCTTCTTGAGCCTCAATTTAGCAATACTGTTTTTTAAATCAATCATATAGAATTCCAAGCACCACAGAAGAGCTCGTCCTCACTGTTATGTGTGAAGGCTGAGGCCATATTTTGAGGTAAAAACATGTTTTTCTGTAATTTTAACCGCAATAATCTCTACATGACTATGAAATATATGATTTAAATGACATAAAGAAAACAAATGCCAGATAAATATTATAAAATATATAATGAAAGTTGTGGTCCCCAGGAGTTGTGTCACTGGTGTTACCGTGTAACAAAAAATCTCTTATTTTGAAATAAAAGAATAAATGCGCTATAG